ATGCAACCTTAAGGGCATATTATAAATGCGATTGCTCTACCGCGTCCTCTTGATCGCACTTACCTTCTTCATGTTCAAGACTCCTTTGAGCAGGATCTACCAAACCACTCGACACTTCATTCCAGCAACAACCACTACAACTCGCACGATGTCTTCCTCTGAGAGACCTTCGGGCTTCATTGCCAAATCTGGCATTGAACTACTTACCTGGGGAACGCCCAACGGACACAAAGCCTCGATTATCCTCGAGGAACTGAAGGCTGCGTACGGCAAGGACTACGTCTGGCAAGGTATCAACATCGGCGAGAACATTCAGAAGGAGCCTTGGTTCACAAAGTACTCTCCGAATGGACGAATTCCCGCCATTGTGGACCATGACCGCAATGACTTTTCTGTCTTCGAGGGAGCTGCCATCCTCGCATATCTCACCAGGCACTACGACCCAGAACACAAGTTCTCGTTCACGGATCCCGACGATCTGAGCAGATGCGAGCAGTGGGTTGCATGGCAACATGGTGGCCTTGTAAGCTCGCAGCTATCTGGCAACGGAAGATAGCTAATGATAATCAGGGCCCGATGCAAGGACAAGCAAATCACTTCTACCGCCTCGCGAAGGAACGAATTCCATACCCCACACAAAGATACGTCGGTGAGACTGAACGGCTATATGGTATCCTCGACAACCAATTGAAAGACCGCGACTACCTCGTCGGGCCGGGCAAGGGCAAATACTCGATTGCGGATATCGCGAATTTTGGATGTAGGTATTGGGGCACAAGTCCTTTTCATATTCCCAATTGTCTCATTCTGTTCTCTCCAGTATATTTGAATAGGGCAAGAACTAACTGCGGCTTCATTAGGGGTCAACATATCATACTTCTCTGGCGTCGATCTCTCCAAATTCCCAAACTTGGAGAAGTGGTGGCAGAGAATCAACGACAGGCCTGCGGTTCAGAAGGGCACATCGATACCAAGCGAGAGCAAGATTACGAATGCGGCGTATCAGAGACGGTTGAAGGAAGAACCGGAGTTTAAGGAGAATGAGGATAAATTGAAGGAGCTGGGAAACAAGGCAAAGGAGCAGTACAATTACAAGTACGCTTCGCCGTAAAGTGACTAGCTATAGCTTAGATGTGGCGTGAATATATATCTAAGTTCATATCAATCTGAAGTACAGATCTGCTTCCATAGACAGAATTTGATGGATTGACATGAAATCTTGAGCTATGCTTCCAGCCCCACGATCAGTGCTTCCTTCTCGTTGACGTCTTTTTGTCATTTTAGCCTGCTTCGCCTTCCAATGCTCCAGTAGTATTAGCCGTCAAGTCCGCCTTTTTGGAAATACTCTCCTACTTTAGCAGAAGCAAGCGCAACTCATTAAACCACATATGCGATCCATTTCGGGGGAACCCTCACAAAATAAGTAAGCAGGGTTCTCCTATTCAACTTGTGCATTTGTTTACTCTTAAGCGAGCTTATCTATGTCTCACCACAACGAAAAAAGAAACAGACGTCAAGGACGAGAGTGCGCTGATGTACAAAATGGGGCATTGAAGAAGAGACATTTAGAGAGTCTGTGTTCAAACGATTTAGGTTCTTCTCGGACTCCTCGGGAAAGTTTGCCTGTTTCTGGTATCTTCTCGATGGTTTCCAAGCATATGTTGCAATGACACAAGGTATCTTTATTTCTTTGCCAGCAATTCATCAATCAGTCTCGACCTTATCCCGCTTCCTGATATTTTCTTTTTATGTTTGTTGACAGTCTTCACTCTCTTTCCGCTCTTTCTGAAGTCAACCTCTCTGCAAGAGCGAAGTACACCTAGAATCCCCTCAATGATTTTCTTGATAGTCAGCCCAGATGTCGTCGCCCTCCCTCTTTTGGCCCAAAGGATCAAACCGATGCTGTGCTTCTAGGCATAAAGTGAGCTTGTAGCTATATGACGTTACATAACTTACTGGTAAGGACCAGGGTACTTAATGCAATTTTGCAGATTCCTACTCCGAAGAACCAGAAGAGAACGAAGAATCGCAGGTCAAAAAAGTAAAGAGAAAGGCTCAATAGTCAGACTCCGATGGCTCTAGCGTGAAGCCCAGGAAGAGGTCAAAGCGGTTTGCGGATTTCGAGGGATTCAGACAAGGACATCAAGGGGAAACACGACAAGATTTTAAAGGTCAAGAATAACTGTAGATCTAAGGTAATGTCAAAGAATCTGAGGATGAGGGTGATAAGAGCGGGGTCCAGATCCAATGCATATCGCAGGGCTATGGACGCAATGAAGGCTTGGGTCGCCCCTTAAGAGAACGACCCGAGGAAAGTTCCGAAGTATATAGGGGTGGGGGTTATAACGGCTTTCAAGCGGAGGATTTCAGTTTTCGAAAAGACAAAGTCGAAGCCTGCCAAGAAATTCAAGAAGGGCAAGAAGGTAGAGCCTTTAACTTCTTCCTCAAGCGACGAGTCCAACTCCGAGGATTGATCAGAATCTGCTTCTAGGAAATCAAACACCCTCGCATAAGAGGTATATTTGATATGCATATACAATGAATAGAAGAAAAGTGGCCGAAAAACTAGCAACTCGCCCACTCCGAACCCAAGAGTCTCCCCGGAGATGCAGCAGACCGACACGAGGAAGAACAACAAGACCAGGACGTAGAGCGAGAGTTGGGACGGCGGAGAGAAGACGAGAATGCAGATCCGGTGTTCCAGAACAGGGCGGCGCCTTGGCAAATACTATATACTGTACGAATGCCACGATCAAGCTTCCAGCAGATTCGTACTAAGAAGAAGGGAAGACATGACAAGAAAGGACCGGACTTTCCTATAAACCGGAAACAATAATCCCATACAACTCGCGGCGTCCGCGCGGGGTTGTCGGAAGCAAGCTTTCTTGAAGCGTTATTGAGGGAGATTGGTGAATTCTTCGTCTGAAAAAAAATTGATAGTGAGAGAGATTTTGACAACAGAATGATATTTCTTAACCAGCCTTAAAGTATGGCTGCGTTCCTGCTCGTTGAATTGTGCTCCGGAAGGGCACTGGGAACGGTACCAGGGTCTCTCTGATCGTTTGCATCTGTGAGAGAGGAACTTCGCCTTTGAGTACTCCAGGATCTCAATCAGTGACTCTCTTGGTGGTAGTGCCGAGTCTGTTCGCTCTGTATTATCGTGCTCGTTTTATATTTGTATCTTGAAAGTATCGGTATTCTAAGGAAGAAGAGCACAACAGAAGACACATGATTCACGGTATATGCTTACCGATTACGTTTTTACAGTTACGGCTAGCGCCGACTTGTGTCGACGATAAAACGCCACCTGGAGGGAGAGGAAGTTTTCTCGTCAATGTGAACCTCTTCCTAGCCGTCACGTCCCTATCTCGGGTTTGGGATCTAGCTTGCTCGACTAGGACAGTTTTATATGAAGTGAACGGAACACTTGTTCTTGTATTAAATCTTCGCTCTAGGCATTACAGGACCGTACGAGGAGCGGGTTACGTTACTCCTAGTTTCTTGATTTTCTTTATATAATTGTGAGGGACAACAAAAGAGAGCTTGGCAACAAAAGAGAACGTGACAATAATGAGTCCTTGGTGTTAATAGTATAGCCTCAAGCAAGAGTTGGCACTCTGGATAAGTAAACAGAACATGAGAATTGAAAGAGGGCTACTTTGGAGCGAGAGACAAGTAGGTCCGATCGGAAGCAGCAGCATCGATACTGACTGGGTTGTTTTACGGCCATTGCTTTGCGTCACCTTTGAGTGCTTCCTTCATATGACGGACAAGGTCATGCTCTTGTGCGAGTGTCCTCGGACGGTGGTCAAACATCATGGTGTCTTTGCGTCTCGGTGGGACTGGCAAATATGTGAGTTCTTCCAGACGTAGCTTGACGTGGTGAACGCTCTTCATAGCATTCTATGTATCTCCAGGAGCATGGGAAAGCGAGTGATTCTTGCTCCTTCCAATGGATATAACATGTATAGATTTCGTGATTGCGGTAGCAAGTTGTCTTCAAATGTTGATCCTCGACAACTTGACTCGACAAATAATTGATTACCCACAACAGCGACACAGTCCCAAATTTGAAACGTGGATGTCCTTGCGTACTTGTCTGTGCTGGGTAAGTCCGGGTTTATAAACCTTGCGCTCATACCAACTGTCTGGCAGGGTCGCAAGCAATGCCGAGACTAGAGGGTTCAGGTGCTATTCGAATATGACTGGGGGCAGAATTGGCAAAGGAGGAATAAGAACAGTTAGATTGTTCCTTCCAAAAATTCAATGCGGTGGTTTGATGAAGTTGTATACTCTCTTTTCCATGCAGATAAAATGCTTTGTCCATTTCCTTATCGAAACATCATGACTGTAATTTCTGACGCTCTCTTTGACCCAACCACTTGAGTTATAGGAGAACGCCAGCCATTGTCTATACTGTTGTCTTATAGATTCTGTGCGCATTGCTATCTAGTTTTCATTGCTCCTTCAAGAAGATCGCAATAAGCTGATAATATCCTCTTACCCATAACCTGAACTAAGCTGGATAATTGTGCTTCGTACATCAGGAATCCATATTCCCTCAAAATCATTAGCAGCGTATTGATCTACATGTGTCTCTATGATTGGAATTATGAAGCTGAATGCATAGCTAAAAATTAGAGGTTTGAAGTGGATAGCAACTTCACTAAGCGAGAAAAAGGGGAATGGGTTTCGCTACATTAGGCCGATTACATGGACCTCGAACACCCATTTCTATTCACTTCGGAGGCGCTGGTTCAAAACGTAGTTACGACAATCGAAATTATCTTTCTCATTCCGCTATAGCGCTTCTTTTCTATCTTTAACCCCCCTCCCCAAAACAAGTTGGAGAACGTTCCGCGTTCTAAGGTAGCGTAAATTGGCTAGGCATCTGCTTCTCGCTTACCAAATATAAGTGGGTCGAAGGAAGGTCTTTTGAGCAGGCAAAAAAAAAAATAGATCTATTTCAAAAATAAAAATGCAAAAAATAACATTTGATCCGACGTGAGCAGGATTTGAACCTGCGCCTCCGAAGAGAATAGATAACTGGAACTTTGTAGGTTCTAGTCTATCGCATTAGACCGCTCTGCCATCACGCCATTTGCTAATTATTGTTAATTTTCGGCTTATTTTAACCTATTAACTTGAGACTAAGATAAGCTCTGCTTGAGGGGTGGAATCTCTCCCCATTGGTTGGAATCATCTTAGGGTCCACTCTTCTTTGGTTACCGCTCTGTGTACAGGGCACGAGGTTATCAAACGATTCAACACATCTGGCCTTAATGTTCCAAAGCCAAATTCATCTATTTTGCATACCTTTTGTTTAGGTTTCCCTTTGCATGAAACCTCATCTGCTCCAACAAGAGTGTGTGCTGTAAGTCGAGGTCCTTCAACTACATCTCCATGTACGGTGGCCAAATGTTCAACTGGAAAATGCATGCATATCACTCCTTACAGTAAAGCACACCGACGTCATGGGCGGAAAGCACATCTTCATACTCGATAATCCACCATGGAGTTTTGAGAACTACGGTAAAAAATAACTCAATCTACGTACTGACAGCGCAGCTTGCTTACCTTAGCATACGAGATCTCTCGTGCTCTCCACAACCCCTTGACCCCAGCTGAAGTTCCCACACCTCACTGCTGACACCCATAAAGACACATCACGCTGCACAACACCAGGTAGAGACTTGATGACCCCCAACCGCCACATCTTGAAGCGCCTCGTGAGTAGGGACAGTATGGGGGGTTTCAGCTTTTACTCACGTCAGAATAAGAAATTCTCCCGTATCCCCCTCCAAGGCTGCCTCCTGGATCCTACACGTGTATCGATGATTGGTCCAGCTGGCCTAGTGAAGCCCCCTAAAGGGGGGGTGAGAGGAGAGATGCTCGGTGAGACACCTCGAGCGCTGCTGCGATACGGATCTCTATGAGTGATAAAAGAAAGCTGAGACCCGGTCAATAGTCTCGTCCTAGTCTTCTTGAGCTTTTCTTCTTGAAAGATTAAAAAATCAAGACGTTCAGGCATCGTCAAAACTTTTTGCACTTGACCTCCCGAACTTCCCCTTCCTTGGCAGGCACGAACGTCACAGTTGCCAGTGCCCCGTAAGCACCACAGAGCTCGCACCTTGTTGGCTCGACGCCTCACCCGTGGAATGTCCACAAGCATCCCTAACTTTTCTTTTCTCCAGATTGTATGAAAATGCGTTCAAATCCTATATTATTAGCAGTTTGTCTGCTCCCAACATTATATGCATCACCACTCGGCGACCCAGCCCTGCAAGTGCCATTGGAGGACCTGAAATCATCCCACCTTCAGGCCTCCTCCCCCTCCCCGCGGCTGCATGGCAGATTCCTGCACATCACAGGTGGGAGAACAGCCCTATCTTTGAAAGTGATCTGACTAGATCTAGACATGCATCCTGACCCTTACTATAAAATCCATTCGTCCACCGAGGAGGAAGATGCGTGCCATCGCGGCAAAGGCTTGGCAGGCACATACGGCGCCGAAACCTCAGATTGTGATACTCCCTACTCCCTAATAAATGCGACATTCAAGTGGATTGCGGAGAATGTCCGAGATGTCGATTTCGTGGTGTGGACGGGCGACTCGGCAAGGCACGATAACGACGAGCAGATCCCTCGAACGGCGGATGAGGTTTTGAGCACCAACAGATGGATTGCGGGGAAGTTTCAAGAGGTCTTTGGTGACGATTCAAATAAGGGCTTGACAGTCCCTGTCGTGTCGACCTTCGGCAACAACGACATCCTTCCACACAATATTCTCCTATCGGGGCCGAACAGGTGGTTGAAGGAATACACGGACATTTGGCGGAATTTCATCCCGGAGGAACAAAGGCACGGCTTCGAGCGGGGAGGCTGGTATTACGTCGAAGTCATTCCCGGGAAGCTTTCTGTCTTCAGTCTGAACACTCTATACTTCTTCAAGAACAATGCAGGCGTCGACGGGTGTGCATTGCGTTCGGAGCCAGGGTACGAACATATGGAATGGCTCAGGATCCAGCTTCAATTCATGCGCGATCGTGGAATGAAGGCTATACTTATGGGCCATGTTCCTCCAGCCAGAACCAATAGCAAAGAACTCTGGGACGAGACTTGCTGGCAGAAGTACACGCTGTGGGTTCAGCAGTATCGAGATGTTATCGTTGGAGGTCTTTATGGACACATGAACATCGACCATTTCATGCTGCAGGACAGCAATCAGGTCAATCTTCTTACTGAGGATGACGCTTCTGCCGAATCGACAGTACGCGCCACGATGGATGAAGAGCTCACAATCGAGTCCGCCAATGACTATCTGGAAGAGTTGAGAGAGGACTGGGCTGAACTTCCAAACCCCAGTGCCGCTATCAAGGAATTTGAGAACCAAACACCCGAAGAAAGCGGGAAGAAAAAGAAAAAGGGGAAGAAGGACAAGAAGAAATCCAAGAAAGAGAAGACCTTGAAGAAGATTGGCGGACCTTGGGGGGAACGATACTCGCTTACGCTTGTCAGTCCAAGTATTGTGCCTAACTTCTTCCCGACCCTTCGAGTTATCGAATACAACATTACTGGGTTGGACACTTCGGCAACATGGGCTGGTAAGCAATCCGTGGTGGCTACTGAGGAGAAAGATTGGCTCAACGAGGAGCCGTTCCTAAACAAGAACAACGACGAAGCATCTATCGAGAAAAAACTCATGGGGAAGGACAAGAAAAAGCCGAAGGAGCCTGATTTCGTCATTCCTCTACCACCATCGAAGAGGTCACCCCCTGGACCTGCTTATTCTCCACAGACATTGACGCTCTTGGGTTACACTCAGTACTTCGCCAATCTCACGGATATCAATAACGACGATGCGGTTCCTTCAAATGCTCTGGAACCTGAAGATGATATCGATGCGGACAAATGGCAACCGGGAAAGCACAAGGGCAAGAACCCAAAACACAAGCCACATCCCAAGCCTTTCCAGTTTCAAGTCGAATACGACACCTTCACGGATCCAATCTACAAGCTGAAAGACTTGACGATGAGAAGTTATCTCAAGCTAGCTCATCGGATTGGACAATATCAGCCTCAAAAGGGCGACAGCATCGAGGATTTCGAAGAGGAAATATTCGACGATGATTCAGATGATGAGGTCGAGGCGGACAAGAACAAGAAGAAGCACAGGAAGAAGAAACACCATAAGCAGCACGAGAAGAACAAGGTCTGGCTGCGATTCGTGAAACGTGCATTCGTTGGTACCTTGGACGAGGAAGACCTCCGCACTTTCGAGGAGGACGAAGTGTTGGTCCCCGAATTCCGGGAGGAGCTATGATCCGCTGAGGGAATGTGAAAGATTGGGATTTGGGAAGGCATTGTTTGGAGTTCGCATTGGGTGGCCGTATTTTTACACGAGGGAAGGCGTTGATGGATATGGTTGGATTGGGATGATACCATGGTTAATGACTTTATTTGGCCTGTGCCAGTAGGAAGTAGACAGCGCACACAGTAGAAGTAATAATCGCGGGTGTTGAGGGCTTGGCTCTAACTTGCCTGTGACATGCCGAATAATATTGACAAGAGATTAATGCCGTTCATTCTTGTTGCTTTGCTACGAGCTTCCATTTCTTAACGCCTTTGTCTCCTTTAATGCCACCCCCAAATTTGGACCTCCTTGTGGTCTGTGTGGCGGCACTTTCGAAAGCATCGCCTCCTTAAAACGACAAGGAATTTCTGTCAGAAGCACATACAGTCAATTTAAGGCACAGGGCAATCATCACACTCAGTTGGAGTCTAGGAATGCTTCAACCGGTTCCATTGTGTATCCATCTTAGCATATCCGTAGCCACCCTAGAAGAGCATCAACAACGCCATTGTCTGAATCACACAAGAGACGCCATTTTGTCCTACTACCAGTCCCATTCCTCGTGGTCAAGAAAGCACCATTCATAATCATCATAAAGCGTAAAGACAGACTCTCTTCTCATCCCTAGCACCAATGGATCACCGCAACATGCCCGAGCTCCTGGCACTCTCTCCAACCTGAACCGCATCTTCCTCTCCATCCTTTTCCCGCTCCCGTCCTCGGCCAAGTCCACTGGTGCTATCTCGCACACTGGCGGTTGTGGAAACGCTTTCACTTCGCACCCGACTGACGCTTGCATCGCTCTGCCGCCGAGCCTGCAACGTCCGCTCTAGTTCTCTAATTCTTCGCTTCAACGCTTCGTTCTCCCTCTTCACAGCCTCCAGCTCATGTCTATGGTAAGCCGTCTCCTCATACCGACCAGTGGTCGGCACGCTCGTGACGGACTCTGTCCTCAGCTCATTCGCACTGCTCAGGGTAGCCAGATTGCCAGAACTAGGATCTCGGTGGGGGGCTATGCTTGGTCGTTGTTGGTAGAAGTATGGGAAGTGATCGGGATGCTGGTAGCTTGATTGGGCGGAGCTTAATGGTGCCGGACTGCTGGCACCGCTTCTTCTTGAGCCTGTAATGGAATTTTGCCGGCTGAGGGATACGGATTGTGGGATGGAATCGTGTCGAGGTGGGTTGCCGCGTGTGCGGTCTGCGGTTGTGGAGGGAGCGGTGCTGCCAGCTATTCCGCCGACGGTGCTCAGGCTAGCTGCTGTGTTGCTTCGTGTGCTTGTGCTGGATGAGGAGCGGTGATGTCTGCGCTGTGAAGGAGCGGGATGGCTGGGGCCAGAAAGGAGGTGGTTTGCATTGTGATCACCAGTGTCTGGGAAACCGGCGGATGTAGAGGAAGTGTTGGAAACGACGGAGGCATTTTGTGCTGCTCGTAGCATGGAGAGTTCGCGGGTCAATCTATTGACCTGTTGGACTTTTTAGCTTTGAGTCATTTTTGGGAAGCCTGCGGTTCTTACCACAGCTTCTTGTTCCTTCTCCAATTGAAGGTGGAGATCCGCAGCAGTCAAAGGTCTGGGATGTCTCAAAGGGCCAGGACCAGTTCCCACACCTGTGTTATCACCAACGCTAACACCAGCTGTACCTGTTGCTATAGTAGCCATGTTGGGAGAGGCTAGGGGAGGGGAGCTGTGGTTGACAGCGTTTTGATTCGAAGGGAGGATGTTCAACGAAGGTGAAGTTGGAGGGATA